CAATGGTCATCTGCTACCTTAATACTAGACCTATAAATATATACACATAGAGCTATTTCCCCATCGTCATATAAAAACATATTTACTTATGTACATGCCAGTATTTAGACCTCTATAAATGCCCTTTGCCTCTTAGTTCTTTACTCTCTTTGATGTGGATACTATTCAACACCCAAATTAAATGGGAAAGAAAAAAAAATACAAAATTTAAACTATTACTGAATTTGAACAATTTTCAAGTGTTTATAAGTGCGCTTACAGGTAAGCATTAGACTGCTAACCACAAGGTCGATATTTCAAAACCACCAGCCAATAAATCTGTTTCATAAAGATTTACAGCTTCAGAAACACTATATAAAATCTCTGGGAGTTGGAATTGACTTGATGGCAGTGGGTTTTGTTAGGGGTGGGGAGAGAGGGGAATCCTATTTCCCCTTACCTATGGAAGTTGTTTTTTTTTCTCCATTTTCTTTGTGATTTATTATACCAGTCTTTTAATATCACTTTATCTATTTTTCACAATTGTTTAACAAGCTTTTTAACTATGACTACAAAGGATTTAAAGATTGTGAATTTGTGTTTATTTTATATAATGAAATCTATCAGGGAAGAAAACTCCCCAGCGCAAGTTAAACATCATAGAAATACCACAAAAAGCCTTCCTGATTTGAAAATCTAAAGACTGGTTACACCTCTTTTCTTCAGCGTATTCTTATTTTATTTATTTTGTTGTTGTTGTTACAATAGATGCAGCAGGATCAATTCAACTGTTTCTATTTGTTCGATGTAGTGATGCCAATTACATTCCTCAGGTTCTGCAATCATTCTTACCCTCTTTGAACAAGCTATCCCTCCCACTAACATAAATTCACTGCCTGCCCCCGTCCAAGGAGCTGATTTTATCTTCCAAGTTGCTATTGTCCATTCAATCCCATAGTTAATACATAAAATATCATACTGCTCAAGGCAGAAATAATTAAGCTAAACAATTGTTTGGTTTAAAGAAGGCTCTGGGATAGTTTGTTTTCAAAGATTTCAATTTTAAAGCTTATGTCAGGGGGTAGGGCGGAAGAGAGAGATCCTGTCAGGGCAATGGTTTCAGTAGTTCATTCAACCTTCAGGGCTCCAGGACATTTGGAATCCATTTTGTCTTCAGCAATCAAGTAGGAAAAGTCAGTATCGAATGAGTATCAAAGAGTGCCAGGTAATTAGAACAAAGTGTTTTTGTGTTTAGGAAGGCCTTCAATAGAGCCCCAAAGCCTGTCTGCTATCTTAATACTTAACATATACATATATGTACATTGACCTATAACCCGATCCTTAGAAATTAATTTATTTACATAGATACATGCCTATACCTCTCTAAACAGCTTTTGCCTCCTAGTTCTTTCCTCTATTTCCTTTCACCTTCCTCATGTCCCACTATCATGCTCACCGTAATTCTTCTCCGATACATTGCACTTGATCAAAACCCACCAGACACTCTGCGCCCTCCTCGCCATTGATTTTAGATCTCTTGTTGTTCCCTTGTCCCTGAGTTTGTTGGTTCCCCACCCCCTCCTCTCCCATGTCCCCCCAGAACCATTGGTCCTGTTGTTTTCTCCTTGGATTGTTAATCCTGACCCTCCATCTGCTCTTGATGCCCCCTTTCCCCCCCACGGCTGCAGACTATTAGAAACCAACTGTTGTGCCTTGTAAGGTCCGCTGTTTGTAAACTTTTAAGATCCCATGTACTTATTAATGTATCTGCATGTCTATTTAGATAAGATAGGCAGGATAAATAATTGAGAGATGAAAAGAATGGGACCAATGGTTTTGGGGGGATACGGGAGAAGGGGAGGTGGGAGAAAGGATGTGGGGAAGAGGGGGGACCAACCCAGGGACAAGGGAACTACAAGTGAACTAAAATCAATGGAAAGAAGGTCGTAGGATGCCTACTGGGGCTTAATCAAAGGCAATATAGCAGCAGGGAATTACTAAACCTGAATGAAAGCCAAACATGATGGTGGGACAAGAGGGGAGTAAAAGGAAATAGAGGAAAGAACCTGGAGGCAAAGGACATTTTTCTAAATACAGGTATGTACATATGTAAATATATATAATGACAGGGGAATAGAACTCTGTACTCACATCTATATGTTAAGAATTAAGGTTGGACATTGTGCCTCAACTCAAGTACTCCCTTAACACAAGAATACTTTGTTCTAACAATCTGGCATTCAGTGATGCTCACCTTCCTGACAGGATCGCTGAAGACAAAATGGGTGCATAAGCAAATGTGGTGAAGAAAGCTGATGGTGCTCTCTGAAAGCATTGGGGAAAAGCAAGCTTCTGGGAAATGACTGAAGACCAATAGAGATGTTTCCAACCAAGAGATGCAATCCTGGAAGCACTGATGTATACCACGAAACCTTAAAGATAGCAACCTGACCCATCAACTGGAAGAGATTCATATATGTGCACATTCTAAGGAAAGGTCACCCAATGGGCTGTGGAAATCATCAAAAATTACATTAATACTGTATCTAAGCAAAATTTCGCTGAAGTCAATTAAAAAAACAGTTGTAGCAGCACACAGACAGAAAATTTAAGCTAGATTCAAAAGAGGACAAGGACTGAGGGATGCGGTTGCTGATGTCAAGTGGAGAATACTAGAAAGATGGTGACCTGTATTGTACTGACTATGCCAAGTCATTTGGCTGTGCGGATCATAGCAAACATTGGGAAGAATGGGAATTCCAGAGCACACAATTATGCCCTTGAGGAACCTGCACACAGGCCAAGAGGCAGTTGTTCAAACAGAACAAGTGGACCCTGCGCGGTTTAAAATCAGGAAAGGTGTGTGTTAGGGGTTACTATGGTTTTCTTCTTTTTACAACCATACTTGCTCAGTCTGTATGCTGAGCAAATAACTTGTGGATTTAGACGACCTGAAGAACAATGTGTCATCAGATTGAAAGGAGGCTTCTTTATTAGCAACCTCTGTCAGGCAGCTGCCACACCTTGTTTGCTGAACGTAAACAACACGCCAAGATCAAAGAATACCGCCTTCAGTATGTGGATTATACCTTAGTATAAAAAAAACAAACATCCTTGCTATTGGACTAATAAGCAATATCAGAATAAAGAATGAAAAGTTTGACGTTATCAAGGACTTTGTTTTACTTGGGTCAACAATCAATACCCATGGAATTAAACAATGCTTTGCTTTGGGATAATTTGCTGCAAAAAACCTCTTTAAAATGCTAAAA